CTTAACGCTCACCATGAGCGGCTTAGGGCGGGGGAAGTCATCCGTTACTGGCGGTGGCATCATAGACGCAAATGAAGTAGACATCTTCTGCTGCAGGATCTCTGGCAGCGCGATTTTCTAATTTGAGAACGCCTCTAGATGCGTACCGATTGCCTCCGGGCCTTGCGCAGCAAGGTGTTGCACGCCTTCAGGGCTCAGCAAGAACATCAGCTTTTTAAGCTCGACCTGCATGCCTAGGGGCAAAGAGATAAAAATTTTCCATCCTCACAAAGAATCAGTCTAAACAACTCAGTTGTAGATGACTACAAGTGCTACCAAGTGCAGCGGAGCTGCCGCAGCTGTGCGCTCTGAGGAAGCGTCAGTTAGGTCCCCGACCTTTCATTCTATACTCAAAGCAAGTACTAGTTAAGCGGATCGCAATCCGCTCACTCCAAGAGTAATTATAGCCATAACCCAAGGCTAATTAACTCTTCCGTTTAGATTCAAACTGACTTTATTTCTTTCTCTGCGGCAAAGCCGCCTAATTTTGAATGCATAGATTTTCCTTAATATGTATAGTGAACTCTAAATACATGTATAACTACTGGCTATCCAGCCCCGTACCGCATTATTGTTTGGGTGTGGTATCACCATGCCCATCTGGTGTGACCCCCCCTGTTTCCAGGTCTGTGTAACCCCGTTACAAAAACAATTAAATACGCTTTCCATTTTGAACAAAAAGTAAATTTACCTTGGTTAAGTTTCTTAGTACTTGCATGTAGCAAGTTGCGGTCCGCTACACTCGTTCTGGCTCTTGTGAAAAACGTAATGTCGGTGACCTTAGCTTAGCTTTCTCTAAGCAAAGAGCTACGGCAGTTTCGCTGCACTATGGATGGATTGCTTCAAGAAGGGTGTGACTCACAGCTCATAATTGCGTTCTGGGAATTTGTATCGCCATTAAAATACGTGACAGGCTCTTAAATGTTGTTCGAATTTGCGTGACGCACCACTGTCACCACATAGTGAGTGTGTCGAAGGATACGTTGAATCTTGAATTGTGAATTCAAGACGTTGATATTCCAATGACGTCGACTTCTAAATTAAATTTGAGACGTTATCTTAGGGATGGTGGTGAAAAAGTCACGAAACAAGGTGGGTGAGGAAATATGGCGTCACGAGCATTTCTCGCGGTGAAATTTGTCGGGTGTACATATCCCTTACAAAAAGCAGAAGCATTTTTACGAGCGCACAAAGCATCAGTTGCTTATGTACATTACGGCCAATTCTCTGAACGTGTAAAAGTTAATCATCAGGTGCCTAACCCGCGCACGAAGCATTTGTGCATCACGCGGACGAGTAGTGATATTTCCAAGTGGCTTAAATTGAGCTCGGGTGACAGAAGCCGTTGTGAGCCGCTAAAAAGAAAAGCAATCTCACGTCACGATTTTCAACGTGCATCAATGTTAGGACGTTACAAAACAATAGCCTTTTATACATTGATGGAACAGAAAAAATCTGCTGCATGATCGTGTCTCCTGTATCTGGGCCGATGGACAGTAGAGGCAACTGAGAGTCGCAATTTCCGTGTCAGAGTTGGTGGGACCCGAAGAATTAACTGCAAGTGGTAAGTAGCGTGACCAGTTCCTCACAGAAAAAAGGATGACTCACTCTTGTCACAACGTAAAGGCTTCACTAAGTCAGTACTGCTGTATTATTTGAACGCGCGGAATGTTGCAGCTGCAACACGGGTACCCATGAAGGGAGTAAATGGAGTCATCCTGGTATTTGCAAGTCATACCTCTCTTCTACCGACGAACGCTTTGATTGACTTAGAGAATCATTAGTATTCATTTGGGTAGATAGCTGCGTCAAAGCGATGTTTCCGCGATGGCGGCTGATAGTAGAGGAGGAGACATTTTTACCATCAGTCAAGGTGAAGAGTTTATTATACTTGCAGAGTACTAAGTACGAGGTTTTGGATGCTATACCCATGTATTCAGTAAATCCTCATATTCTTTCCCTAGAAAAAACACGACGTGGTGACAAGACTCGCCAGTCGTGCTGTCTTCGATCTCAGAAATGCGCTCTGAAATTGACTTGATCCTCAATGCCAAAATTTTGCTTCACACGCTATAAACCCTTAACAAGGGAGCAATTTCACGTCATAGACGCATTCTCTCGTGCGAAGTACAAAGCGGGGTCGGTAAAAGTTAATTTATATTAAGTCGGTACTAATTGTTGACTATCCCGAGCGGGATGCCCCTGGAGTAGCTGGTTATGCTACAGGACCGCATCAGCGCCGTTTAGTCGCCAATGACGCTGATAATCAGACTACATCATGCTTATGAATATAACTATTTGACGATATATATATATACCGCTGGAAATCGGATATGGATAATTGCTGCAAACACCTGAAGCAGTGATGAAGTATGTACTCCAAAACGAGGTATTTGCCAATATATCCGGTGTGCCTTTGGCTTCGACGAAATCATCTGTATTTGCTGCCTCATTGAAAAGCATGGCCTGCCGGCAGATCCGACAAGAAATCAACACGTTTGGAAATTGGTCTGTGCCCTGTCTCAAAGAAGTTTTAGAAAGTGCCTTGACCTGACCAACCGATTGCACAAATATAATGAAAATTAGGCAGGCATAACATGACCCTTGCAAATTGGTGCCGGCGACGACGGAAGTGACGGTTTTCAAGACTGTAAACAGTCTTTCTGGCACTTTTGGATTCGAACAGTTAATGTCGTCTGTTACATTTCAGCCTTTGCCGCAGACTATGCATTTTTTCCAGGCATATGCTAATGAGCATGAAGTGTAAACGCGCTCGAATCTTGCCGCTTTGAGCGGCAAAGAAGAATCACTATGACCGCGAAATGAAGCTATTTGTTCTGCAGTTTACTCTTATCGATTCCAAGTCACATCTAAGCCACTTGTGATCTAGCACTGTGACATTGTCATCGCTCCTCTTACATATGATATATGGTCAGTACACCCTCCCGAGTGTACCTTCGTTGTAAGATATGAGCTGGTCTGGCCTCATGTGGTGGTTGACACGCTACTACGTCACGTCGCCCCAGAGCCGAATTTCGCGTCTCACAATGGTGACGTCGTCATTTGATACGGCGATATGGAAATCACACGAATCATACGCGACATTTTTTGCGCTGCTGAAAGCCTAAGGAAAAACAGTTGGCTGAGAGTACAGATGTCGCGTGATCAAAGCGCACGTTTGCACACCTTCACCGCTATCACTCATCCCAAGCTTGCTTTGTTGCAGTATTGAAGCACATGATTATCAACGTGCATTTCTCTCTTATGAAAAGTGTCTCAAGTTCAGAATAATGTAGGAGCCACCTGATATGGCCGCTTCATGAGAGGAAGGACTTACCGATCGGTGAGCGCTATGTATTGCGGCCGAGCGCATATAAGCAGGTAGCATAGACATGCGCACGTTAACGGATTAAATCGTTGTCGCATGCGGCAGCCCTTTGGTTAGCCTGCTGGCCCGGCGGAATGTTGATAGTCCAGAAATATAACGTTGATGTGATTTCCAACTGACGCGTCTGTCTAACCTTGTGGTCGATTCGGACTATCTGGGCAAGATAGCCAATATCGCTGTTGTCAGCGATACCATGACCAAAGGGATCACAGCTGAGCTATTTCTTGACAAACAATTTTGCCGACATGCCTTCCCGGAGCCATTGTGTTAAATTGGGATTGCGCTTTATTGTGAATTGTTGTCAAACCTTGTCACAGGTGTTAGGTATCATATTAAAAATGCTGGCCGTTCAGCTACCGGCAACAAATCATTGCACGCAACGCGTGAATTACGTCGTAATAATATTACGAGAATATATCGCGGTTTCCCCCATTAAATGAGTTTGCGCCGGATTATGCAGCATGCGCTTATACGGGCTTTGCACCCCTTTCTTCTAAATGATTCATTAATCCCGAATACCTTTGACAACACCTCTCAGTGAATCCGGTCTTACTGCAACGGATTGTCACTCTATCTGGCGTGTTAATGATAGCTCAGCATCACTTCGTGGCCAAGCTAAAGGTGTATCTGATGAGATTGAGCGTCAAACGCCAGGCACGAGCGCTTTGGCTGAAAAAAAGCAGGATGTTTGAATGCGGCATACCAAAGCCAGTGGCACGGGATGGATACGAAAATATGAAGTGAAGCAAGAGACATGCGATAAATTAAGTGTGAACGCAGTCTCTGCGGGCAATACTAAACCATGATTTGAACGCTATATCGTACCTAGCAAAAAATTAGATTAAGTACTATTTAAACCGATCCTAGGTGTTATACGTGAGCGTAATGAAGTGATAATACGATCCTGCATCCACGAGCCAGCCAGATAGATGTAAAGCTTTATATCGTGAACGGTCCAGCGTGTATGTCATATCCTTGTAGCGAACTCCTTTCTGCTCTAGAGTAGCAATGTGGGGACCAGCCGCTGGTTGTGCTTCAAGTCACACGTGTTAATGGCAAACTTAGGATATGGTTGCCTTTAGCCGACTATCCAAAGACGTGTGGTCAGACCAAGAGGGTCGATCGTATGGTTGCAGACCTACTATGTTGTTACTCATATGGGTCGATGGCTCATTCTCGACAAGACGTTTCAAAAGGCGGTTATATCCTGCGACATTAACGATTAGGACATTCACAAGGTAGCTGGCAGCGGTCATCGGAAGTGTGAAGCTTCGATGTGAAATGAGAGGAAGCTCGAAGGGCATTTTTACCGAGTCTCGGATGTGAAACCGGTACTCTTGTGTAATGGGTATCTACATTCATCGACAGCCTGAGTAGCGTACGGACTCAACCTATGCAATCAGAGATTTGTTTGTGTAAGGTGAAAGGAAAGACCGTTGGGCAGCAGAAATGTCTCTTCTCTCATCCTTTAGCATGGCTGAAGCTGATCGCCTCTGGTGCCTATAATGTTATCCGACAATTCAACCTGGTCTAGTGACGCAATGATGTGCTCCGCATTGATGTGACACCTCCTGCTTTTATTAACGAGGTAGGGCGGGCTCGGAAGGCCTTTATTCTAGCCGCGCCGAGTATGTCAGAATCCAAATTTCAAAATGCAAACTATTATTGCCTACTCGGGGCAAAAAATTACGCACTTTCAGCCTTAACGTTTGATAAGATGCATATCCTACCCTCAAGCTTTCAGCATGGGCAGCGAAATCAAAAAATATGGTATCTTTTAGGCGGCCTAAATAACCTGGTGCACAGGTCGCCATTGACTTTGTCAAGTCAAAATATAACGCATATAGTTCGTAAAGCGTGGCTTCAGTTTGGCACGATCATATAAACAGCTATACTCATATGTTTATTTCTAGTATATCTGATTACTTAATTACTTATGAGACCACCTTCATTCTATTACCATTTTATCTACCGTTTATTTTGCCTATCAAGCCCGTGTCATTTCTTTGTAGGACCTCTGCGAATTGTTTATAGCTTCATTAAATTAAACACTTCGTTTGCTTGCTTGTTCCAAAAGTGACATATATACTTTGAAATGTATATATAAAATTCCAAGCCAATAAAAAGGCTTTTTGTATTGCTTTATTCACGACCTCAAATTAGCGAACTAGCACTTTGGTATCTCACACCAGTACACACAAGTGTTGTATATATTTCGTACAATTGTACAGTTTGTATTGTACAATTGCACAGAAGCATTGCACAATATTACGTTCTAATCAGTCGTCTTTGCGCTTTTTTGCCGCTATTGGCAGCTATTCGCGCCATTTCCAGACTCACCTCGCCTTAACGAAACTTGCATCATTTAAGTGTTCTGATATGAATGATGAGGACGGTGATCAAGAGACTTGCGAGTGGAAAAACACAAATCTCACTACATATCCCACATTCATAAATATGTTGCTCGATTTGCATACGTCTCTAGTTTCAAACTTCTGTTCATTATTGAAGAATGTATGGCTCCGAAGCACTGTCACGCAGATACATTTGGGTATGTTCTGAGTAGCAATGTGGACTCCAGCCGAGCATATGCAATAAGGCATAACACCCACGTGGTGTGCAAACTCTATCATCGCGCAAGTCTATCTAATGTGTGTTCGACATGGCCAATAACTACATCAAGTAATCAATCGTCTCACTATCAAAGTAAAAGCGTCTTGATCATAACACAGTTTACCATTATCTATCATTAAACTGCATATGTCAGTAATCAGCTGTCACACAAGCAACGCAGCTGTAAACGATCTGTGCGGAACTGGATGTTCTAAGTTAGATGTATCATGTATTACTGGCGTCAATACCAGGTCAACCCATAAATGAGCCAACAAGCCTGTCGTTTATTAATTTTGTTTCATGTTAAGTAATCGATTCAAATTCGCTCCATCATGCTACATGTTTTAACTACAGCGGTATAATGACTAGGAATTTTTAACTAGCAATCTTAACTAATTCAGAATTTACCTATTTCGAGGACTGTATAAGGAATATCATCCAGATGACTGTGGTCTGGTTTTGTTCTCTCCATGCCCACGTTCCTATTCTGTTTCATGCGTTTCAGTAGTTACATAGCGCTTAAAAACTTGTGCTTACCTAGTGAAATGTCGAAAAACCTGAAAACCATAATGGAATTCTGTGAGGATAGCAAAGCGCCTAACCAGTTCAGATATTTTTCCTAAATGACACGTGTTGCGAAGCGGTTCCAAATAAATCGACATGTTGAGTGCTTTCGCTCCATATAGTCACCATGGTGCTGACATTTGAGTAAGAATAATCTTACGGTGTTTACCGCTTTTATTCATAAATGTGAAACAAAGCTACTGTCGTTTGAAACGAGACTTGTACTGTTGTGCACACCTCTTGCCTTCTACACTTATTCAGTTTGAACAGGCCAAAAGATTTCGATGAGCACAAATTTGAACTTTTCTCCGAGTCCACCCTCATCCTTTTCTGCTGCAGATTGAACCTTAAGCCTTAAATTTTTATTCGGGTACATCTTGACCAGATCAATTTGGGATAAAACATTCAAATTTTGATAGGTGCGCCGGCTTGAATTCCAGACTACGCTGCCCAAGAAGTTAAAAATCACTCGAGGCGACAGAAATAAAGACCTGATGTTGTTTAATCGGATACATGAGATACCTTTGTACCTTAAATTGTCCTGAGAGTATTACATTGTAGTGTATCATGCATTCATGCCCTTCTGCAATAATTTATCCGACTTTACCACCACAGATGCGCTGAAACCGACAGCTTTAGTTTTGTCGCAATCAAATTGACCGGAATTCTGTGGTAATGGCAAAATGGGGTCAATATCACGACAGTACGCCTTGCGCTGTGTATTACAGAGCTCCTGTCCTTGCACTTTAAGGTGCAGTTTAAACTTGAAAGCCTTTGCAACAACTTCACATCCCAAAAAACTCAATAACATTCGGATCGCATGGTATCAGATCATGTACAGTACTTTGAAATTACAATTGTTTCGAAAGCATTTCTTGAATCTCAAAACGTACATGTGTTGATACATATCCCGAATACAGGCATTGAGTCGGTTTATGCAGACCAGATATCAGCCGCGCAGGGCTGGGCATCAAGAAGGCCAATCAGGATGGTGAGCAGCGCGTTGGGCACTTATTTTCTCATTTTGCAATTTCTGGACTGTCATCGCTACCAGTGTTGAATTTGGGTTGATAGACCAGTCAAAGAGCATTCATCTGAAGTCAATTCCTTATCGAAGCCTCCGGCTCTACCTCGATAAAAGTGAGTTCTAAGCACTAAGAAATTGCACTCGAGAAATTCTGAAATGACTGCTCCGACTCGTAACTCGTTCGTTTCCATGGCGACGCCAAACGATGTGAAGAATTACACGAATGACGTTGGTCAAATCCAATGGGCGCAGGTACCTCTTAATGCCGCTTTGGACAAGCTAAAGACATGTCGT